TGTTGCTCTAGATGATAAATTTTAGAACATAAATTAGAAAATGGACGATGGAGCACATTATTATTTTTATTATTAGAATTAAGGTAATTACAAATTTATTGTAACAAACATAATAAAAATATGTAATGTAACAAGCACAATATTGTAACTTAAAAAAAATATATTAGCCTTGCATCCACAAGAGTATTGGAATTGCAGTTCTGAAGATGGGAATAAAAGGTCCCGAAACGTAAACTAGACTGTTAACATGTAACGTTAAAAATATACTCGTATTGTTAATAATTGGAAGTTATTATTGCCAAGCAACTAAATAAATATTAACTAAACAAGGTGAGAATCTAACCGAGAATGTTAAGAACAAGGCACTCTTTTACTTTCACTCACCTTTATATGTAATATATAGTTAGGGAAAGTATAGCGATCTTGAAAATTTTCGAAGCTCAGTTTTCAAAGGAAATATACTTTTGAGGTTACTTGAGCCCAAATAACCAAGCCCTGCAAAATGGTTTGTGTGTATGTTATCAGTCAACCTCAAAAACGAAAAGTCGTACAAAAGTGAAATTGCATATCTAAAAAAAAAAATGTTTGTGATGTAGATTAAATATAAAACAAAAATAGGTTTTATAATTCCCCAGCTCTAGACAACAAAAAATACTATTCGGGTGCATTTCTGGACATTGCACAAGCATTCGATAGAGTATGGCACGCTCCGGATTGCTCTTCAAGCTTAAAATCCTCTCTAGCAGTTCCTTTCGAGTTTGCTTTGGAACAGAATTTTCCAATATCTACCCATTCAAAGCCGGTGTTCCACAAGGCAGCGTCTTGGGTTCCGTACTTAACATCCTCTTTACCGCTGACATTCCTATTGATCCCGATACCTTTCTTGCAACAATCGCTGAAGACACCGAAATCATCCAATTCTGATCCCGAAATAGCATCCTCAAATCTGCAAAGCCACCTCTCCTTGATTGAGCACTGGTGTAATAACTGGCGAATCCAAATGCCAACATATTACCTTTACACTCCGGCGCAATTCCTGTCCACCAGTACACTTTAACTCCATCCAGCTTCCTTTCTCAGACACAGTCCGGTACCTTGGCTTTCTCTTAGACAGACGACTAACGAGGAACCCTCCTTCTAGACTTAAAAGACAGGAACTTAACCGACGACACGGTCAACTACACATACTACTAAATATAAAATCTAAACTTTCTATTCAAAACAAATTACTGATTAATTGTTTCTGAACTGAATTACTGCTTGGCTTTCTTTTAGACCGAAGACTATAACATGAAACCCAGATATTAAACAAAATACAAGAACTCAATTGACGATACTGCCAACTATAGAGACTACTAAACAGAAAATCTAAACTTTCTATTGAAAACAAATTACTTATCAACAAGACAATTCTAAAACCTGTGAGTGGGGGTGGGCGTAGGGACAGCAAAATTTTCTAACATCAAACGCATTCAATCCTTTCAGTCTAAAGCCCTTCGAACAATAGTTGATGCTCCATTTTATGTAACCATTAAAACCTTACACCATAATATCCTTAATGACTTTAATATCCCATTTGTCCTTGACCTTATCCCTGAAAATTTTACCAGAACCTTACCTATCATCAAAATCCCCTTGCACAATCCCTATCCAACACTACCCATGCTTACAATCCTCCTAGAAGGTTGAAGCGGCAGTGGCCCAGTGACCTTTTGTAATAAGTACATACGGGAGTTTTGGCAATGTCCAGATTCTCCACTCAAGCCATCTATGTGTGATTATAGCCCCTCATCTCAGAATCTACTGGTCTTTAATACCAGTAGCGCGGCTGAGTGAGGGACGCTGGGATCTCCTAGAGTCTTGGATTTCCGTCCACTCTGAGATCTTGAGTGAATCAATTTTTTTTTTCTAATTATTTTCATTAGCTTAGTTTCTTTTTGTTTAGTTTAGTTTATATACATTTACTTTTAGTATTATTAATTTTCTGTATTATTTATTTCTATTTATTATGAATGGAGTGTGAATATGTTCTTTCAAAACTATTATAAGTGCCCTTGATTGTGACTTGATCAATAAATATGTTTAAAAAATATATATATATATATATATATATATATATATATATATTTTAAAATGAAGAATATCACATTTCAACATTTTATTTGACATAATTACATCCTGTCAGTGTTACAGGCCTCACAACCATTGTAAATTCCCGATTTTCATTAAAATTAAATACTTTTTCACATTCCTTTTACATATCTTCAACTAAATTTTTTTTTTAAAAAGTGGTCAATAAATTAAAAGTGGAAACTTCACAAATTACTTATAGAAAAAAATTAATCTTTAACTGTTGCTTATATTTGTCAGTTCTTTTCCCATTTTTCTCAACAAATTTATTATTTTCACATCTTTACTTAATTTTTGTAAGTAGTAGACTTAGATTTGTCTGACTTTTGTCAAAACAAAGACTAACCTTACTACTAGTTTACCTAGGCCTCATAACCATTGTACATTTCTGATTTTAATTATGGAAATAAGTTCATGAAAGTAAATAGTTTTTCACTTTCAATTTTTTTTTAGATAGTGTAGTGGACAATAAATTAAGAAAAAAAGTGAAAACTTCACAATTTATTTATAGAAAAAAAATCTTAAACTGTTGTGTATATTTATCAGTTCTTTTTCTATGTTTCTCAACAAATTGATTATTTTCGCAATACTTTTCTTTAATTTTTGTAAGTAGTTGACTTACATTTTTTTAACTCTTGTCAAAACGATTTTCAGGCACTTGGAATTAATTATTACAATTTTCCTCTTTATGTCGAATGCTATAAAGGATAATGTCCAAAAAAGCTTTTTAAATTGAAAGTATTATTATTATAAGTGGACAATGCTCCAGATCCATGCTGCCTGTTATCTCTATGTCAACTGTGCTAAAATGGTCAGTAATGATTGAATGTGTAGGGATCATGATTGGAGCAATCCTTGTCAGTCTTTTGACTGTCATTCATGACTGATCGTATAGGGTCCACTTTACGCAAGAACAAGACTTTACCAAGACTGACTGTGCCAGGATTCGGTTTGCTCTCGCATTTGGGCAACACTGCATCCTGTTCTCATTCTTGTCGGCCATAGGAACATTCTCAACGAAATAGTTTCAGCTCGAGGTATAACAAAACTCTTAATTTGGAAGTTTTTAAAATTTATATGTATACTTCATGGATTTTAAATGTGCGCTGCGGATTTTCGAACATCCGGAAATCAAAGGTTCATTCACGAGAAGTGGAGGGGAGACTGAGGTAAAAGTAGTTTGGAGACTAACCATACTGCTGGATAGGTTAGGTTACATAGGCCTCACGACCATTATAAATTTCTGATTTTCATTCTATGTAAATAGTTAAATAATTTTTCATATCCCTTGTTTATAATTTTAAACCATCTTCAACTATTTCGTTTAAATAGTCAAGTGGGCAACAAAATTGAAAAAAAAAATGAGGAAACTTCACAATTTACTTTAGGAAAAAAAAAACTTTAACGTTGTGTATATTTATCAGTTCTTTTCCCATTTTCCTCAACAAATTTATTATTTTCGCAATACCTTTCCTTAATTTTTGTAAGTAGTAGACTAACTTTTGTCAAAACCATTTTCTATGAGACTAATCTTCTATGAGACTACTACTAGATAGGTTAGTTTACCTAGGTATTAAGTAAATATTTGTTTATATCCCTAGTCTATATTATTATTAACCATTTTCAACTATTTTTTCTGTAAATAGTCAAGTAGGCAATAAATTGAAGAGAAAAAAAAGTGGAAACTTCACAATTTACTTATAGAAAAAAAAATCTTTAACTGTTGTGTTTATTTGCCATTACTTTTTTCCATTTTTTTTAACGAATTGATTATTTTCGCAATACTTCTCCTAGATTTTTGTATGTAGTTGACTTATATTTTTCTAACTATGGTCTAAACGATTTTCAGGCACTAGGAAGTAATTATTATATCTACGTTTTTCTCTTGATGCTCAATATTATAAATGGCAATGTCTAAATAAGCATATCTATGCTGTTTCTTTGTTTACAACTGAGCTAAATTGGTATCAGCAACGATAAGTAATTATCAGCAATGATTGAACGTGTAGGGGTCTTCATGATCAAAGCGATCGCGGGTAATCTTGGAACTTCTTGTGACGTTCATTCATGAATTACCGTGTAGGGTCTGCTTAAGCATGCTAGCTACTAACGCATTTATATAATATCTCCCAAATTTCCCGTCGTACTATCTCTACCCTGTAGTATGGATTATTATTATTGTTACATATTATTTAAAAAACAAGTGAGGTTGTACATTGTTGAAAAATATATTCATTGATTTATTTGGGAACTTACTCAACCTTTGTTTTTGTCTAAACACAATCATTACAACCCTGAAACAGTTAAACCGTCTCCGCTATGAATCCTTCCATATAAATCTCGTCAACTCCTGGTTTCCTCCCTTGTGTTCCCCCACTTCGACTATGGCTGTCTGGTGTTCGGCGGACTCTCAGAAGAATTCGAGGCCAAGCTTAAAAGCCCAATGAACTGCGCAATACGTTTTGTTTTGGGAATCTCAAGAGATACGCATATAACCCAGTATTACACCAAGTTGAAGTGGCTCTATCCATCCAACCGCCGTCTATACTTCCTTGCTACCTTTCTATACAAAGCCATCAGAACTCAGCGGCCTTCCTATACTTTTCACAACCTACAATTCAAATATTCCATTCAATCCCGTCTCACTAGATCTCGTACCTCCGACCTTTATCCACCTCCTCACCGATCCACCACAGCGTTTGACAAATCCTTTACAATTCAAGCCGTCTCCTTCTGGAATGCCATCCCTCCCGATATCCGACATGTACAATCAGTTTCCTCATTTGAATCTCTCCTTTTTAACCACCTACTCCTTTCCCAACCCGATTGATCATGAAATGTAGATAAGGGAACTTTTAAAGTTCATCCAGAAATGATTTTCTTTACTTATGCTATTTGCCACGTTTGTGTTATACATATCAGTATGTTTTTAGTGTAATTGTTCTATTTTTTATTTTATTCTTTTTCCAAAATCTTGAATTGTAAATAATTAATTTTATGTATGGCCACATAGGCATTTATTCTGTAACAGTAATTTGTACTAAAGGGACAACAGTCCCAGGATAATAAAAAAATATTTTCATTTCATTTACTTATTTGCAAAGGTAATTGGAACATAATAAATGAGTCTGTTTTTTAAAATTAATATTAATAATAATGTTTAATTAATCTGTATGACAGTTTTAATTTTTTTTTTTATAGTATTTTCAGCACATACATCCAACAAATTGTTATAAAAAGTAAACTTATGTGAGTATGTTCTGTTGTTCTTCTAATAATTACTTAAGGAATAATTCACTATAAGGCGTGTGCCCAACAATCCTATCCAGCATGATGTTCGCCATGCCACCAATTGCCTCTTCAAAACCTTTGCCCATCTGCCTCTTGAATTCTCGCCAGTTTTCGGTCATCATCTTGTTAGCTGCATCACCTTTAAAATTTTAAAAATCATCAAAATAATGTTTTCATTATAATACCATCATTGTATGACGTATGGTACATGCAACAATAACTAAATCTAAGTAAGCTTTCAAGGTATCAACTTATTTTTAGATTATTTAAAAAAGAAATTTTGTTTTTAGATTAATACTCCAATAAACCCCATCAAATTACCTTTACTCTTCGTCGTAAACCTATGACTTCCTGTCCTACAGTATCCTTTAACAATAACCCACTTATCCCTGTTGACCAAATCCGATACCTAGGACTCCATCTTGACAAACGACTCACTTGGAACCCCCATACCAGACTGAAACGACTAGAAACCGCCCGACGTTTCCGACTACTCCAGCACTTACTAGACAAACGCTCAAAACTGCCAACTATTTACAAAAGACTCATATATATTACTATAATAAGGCCTATTTGGACTTACGGGATCGAGCTTTGGGTCTCTACTAAACCATCAAATTCCTCTCGTATCCAATCCCTACAATCCAAAATCCTTCGTAAAATCCTTAATGCTCCCTACTTTGTCACAAATAAAATCATCCAAAATGATCTTAATGAACCATATGTTTCCAATTTAGCTCAATCCAGATACCTGCCCTTTCATAGTAAATTTCTGAACCATCCGAACCCTCTCGTTTCCAACCTTGCTTCATCTTCTATTCCTGATAACCCTCCGAGGCGTCTGAAAAAAAGATGGCCTCGGGACCTTCTAATATAGAAATATAATTGGAGTGCTACCAATGGGTAGTTTCTCTTCATGTTGTGCATGTCATATTGCCTGTTCATATTTACTTGTTGTATTTATTATTAATTACAGTTGTAAATTTCGTTAAAAAAGAAAAAAAAGATTAATTAATTACAAAATGCATATATACATGACTATAATAAGGCCTATTTAGACTTATGGAGTTGAGCTATGGGGCTCCACTAAACCATCTAATTCCTCTCGTATCCAATCCTTACAATCCAAAATCCTACGTAAAATCCTCAATGCTCCCTAATTTGTTATAAATAAAACCATCCATAATGACCTTAATGTTTCAGAGCTGGCCCAATCCAGATACCTATCCTTCCATAATAAACTTCAGAATCATCCCAACCCTCTCGTTTCTAACCTTGCTTCCTCTTCAATTCCTGATAAACCTTTGTTGCGTCTGAAAAGAAGATGGCCCCGTGATCTCTAATGATAGTGTAGTGTGTCTAATGATAATGTAGACATATCATTAGAGTGCTACCATTGAGTAGTTACTCAGCAAGTGTTTTCATGTTATTATATCCATATGTTTAAATTTAATACATGTATTTATATAATACAGTTGTAAATATCATTAAGAAATAATAAAAAAAAAAATGTTTTTAGATTTTTTCTAAAGGCGGAATTCCACTGAGGCCACACGGTACGACATTTTGCTTGATACTTGTTTCCTATTCTAGCCGTCCGACTATGTGGCATAAAATCCAATTAATGTCGCATGCGGAATTTTTGCCTCATATCGCATGCGCTTTGTCATACCCTTGTGTAGTATGCAACAGAATCGATTCCATTCAGACAACTTCAGTTTGGTATATCATATCATTACAAACAGTCACGGCAAATTTGGAATCATAAAAGGGAAAAAAAAACATCACGATATTGGAGAAGAGAGCAATAAATCGATGGTCAAGAAATTCGGTATAATTTAATATTTTACGCTTGAAGAGTAGTAGAAAATTGACTGTGGTTAACGAACATACTACTGATCGAAATGATTAAGTTTAGTTTAGTTATTTAATTTATGAAAGAAAAGGTTTGTTCCACCATTTAGGAACTATAGGTGAAAAATACACAAAAAAAAAAGATCGAAACAATCTGGCTTTTTTGCCATAAAATGTTTTTCCTCGTCAGCAATTTTGTTTTTGCACATCTCAACCAATATATATATATCTACACCAATATATATATATATATATATATATATATATATATATATGTGTGTGTAGATATAATATATATATATATATGTGTTATATATATAAAACTTAAAGAAATAAAAACTTTTTTCACAATGAATATCCGTTTAGACCCTCTAGTTACTGACCCAATATTCAGTAAATCAGTCGCCATTTTTACAGAAAGTAAGATCCGACTGAAAAACTCTCATTTTTTAAAAATAAAGACGTTATAAATATTCAAAAAAATGCTCAAAATATTCTTTCTCATGGGCTTTCGGACTATTTGGGTTACAAGCAAGTCCATTTCGTGTCATCAGTGAAAAACTCAGCAGTTGACAATATCTATTTGGGTCCAATAAAAAATTGAGTAGCTCATAAGTAAACCATTTCTCATTTTTTTCTAGGAAATAAACCATTCTTTTCTTGCTGAAGTTTTACTTTCACTTACGTATATATGTAATATATAGTAAGGGTAAGTACTGCGATCGTGAAAATCTCAGTTTTCAACGAAAATACATGTTTTGAAGTCCCCTGAGTCCAAATAACCAAGTGTCGCAAAATGGTGTGTGTGTGTGTCAGCTGGGCTGGTATATCAGAATGTAGAGAACTGGGTCTAAGACAATGCCTTGTGGAACACCAGCCTCAACTGGATAATAGTTGGCTCTAGTCACATCTCCTTGTAACATTCCTTGTTTTCTCCCACTTCGACTATAGTTGCTCGGTGTATAGAGTGATCTCCACAGAACTGAATTGCTTCATCTTTTGCAAGCGTTTTCATATTTCCTGTTGGTACGCCAAGTTGAAGTGGCTTTATCCTACCTCCCGACGGCAATTTCTTCTTGGTGTTCCTTTTCCAAGTCCTCAGAACCAAAAACCCTCCCTACATCCTAGAACTCCTTACTTTACGCTCCTCTATCTCCACCAGACAGTTCCTTGTAACCTCCCTTGTATTCCCCCACTTCGACTACGGCTGTTTGGTGTATGGAGAGCTATCTGCCATGCTGGAAATGAGACTGAAAAGACTCATGAATTATTTATTTATTTATTTATTTATCAACCCTGCCGTGCCTAGTAGACAATACGGGTGTCTGCAATAGTAAGATGTTAGGCAGGTCAGCTTAACACCTCACTACTGCAAATGAATCTTGTTCTTCTGCTCTTTCTTCATTTTTTTCTCTTTCTTCATGGTTGCTTTTCTCATCCGTTTCCCGCCAATGGTATGAATTGTTTCATAAGATAAATCTTCGGGATCCCCAGGCTTTATCCTACCTCTCGACGACAATTCCTCCTTTTTGTTTTCCTTTTCCAAGTCCTCAGAACCAAAAACTCTTACATCTTATAACTCCTTACTTTACGCTCCTCTATCTACTCTCTCAAAACCAGATCTCAACCTATAGATTAATATATCTCCTCCCATAAAAACACTTCCTTCAGTAAATCCTTCGTCATTCTACGTCCTTCTGGAACTCCTTACCCATCTCCATACGTCAAACCACGTCCATAATCTTTTTAAAACAACTCGTATTCCACCACCTACTACAAATTCAAAATTCCACAAGCTAGTAACAATTTCTTGGTTATATAATAATTACCTTGATCACCAGCAGTTAAACGGTAAGAACCATTTTATTTTTACTTACTCACTCTTTTATCTCTTTCTGGAACTTATTGATGATGAACGTTCCATTAGATATGCAGCTAATGCCATCGGAGTTCCATATGAAACTTTACGAGACGCCGTCAGGCGTTTTCGGGAAACTGGTTCTTACAATAGAAGGCCCGGTTTCGTAAAATTCTCAAAATCAAAAACCGGCCATCCAGTGGTTCTCTTACCCTAGGCGTCCAGAACCGGGCCTTCTATTGTAAGAACCAGTTTCCCGCAACATCCTCAGCACTAAGAGACATTTTTAAACTTAATATTGAAAAAATTAAAAGCCGGAGACTAAGAAATGTGCTGCAAGAAACGGCACTGAACTAATGATACTGAATAAACATTTTGATTCCATAGAAAGTAAACATTGGAATCTAGAATTATTTCATTGAATTAAGGATTAATGGTTATTGTCCTCTATATTAACATTCCTAATTGAAAACAAACAAAAAGATTACCTATGTATTCATTAAAAACAATAAACCAATCCAAAGCAGAAATATTATAAGATGAAAACATGAAAAAATCGAGTGGGTGGAATTTTTTGCCTATCAGTGTATAATATCAAACAAAAGATAATATATATAATTCACGAGTACCTAAGGCTTTGTTTCCGTTGAAAAGGTTTTCAAAATTTATTGATGCATTCTTAGGTTCTGTAGTGAAGTGAACAGGTGGGACTGAAGTGACATATTTACTTCCATTCTTGTCTATCAGTTTGTAGTGGTAGATAAAATCTGTAGTCACATCATCTAATGGAAAAAATAAAGAAGGAATTGTTAGTTTTGTCAAATAAAAACTTAAATCACATTTTCAATAACAAATAAAATACAATTTACCTAATGTCATCGTCGCTTTTCCTTTACCAGTTACTGGAATTACTAGAAATTTACCGACTAAATCATATTTGGAAATGAATTTGCAGTGTGGAAAATGGAATGTTAGCTTGAGATATTTCTCTGGAGTGTTGTGTCTATGAGAGATTATAAACATAAAATTAGTGTATTAATCATAATTCAACAAAATATTATAGTTTATTATTTATTATACTGTATGATAATTTAAAAACAAAATCTAAACCTTATCATATCATGTCATGTCATATCTTATATCATGCCATGTCATATCATAATACATCATATTCTATTATATTACCATTTGTTCACTTACCAATAATTACTGCTATGGGCCAACTAGTCATATTGAAATTTCAGAATAATGAAAAAAAAAATGGACAATCAATTTGTGATTTTTATATTCTTAGAAGCTAACATATTAGTTTTAATCAATATCATGAAAAATGATTCAAAATTAAAATGTTTATTCCTGATAAGTTTTATTTTATCTCATGGAAAAAATATTTACAAATAGCTTTAGTGACAGAATGTAATATTATAATATTAAAATACAAATATTGATGTAATCTCAAGATATTGACTGATTACCATAAATTATAAGCAACATTCAGCTGTTTTGGTTATATTTTATAAGAAGAATGTTTAATAATTTTATCCTCTTACACATAAAATTCAGCCATACCCTATCATGTTCATAACATTATATGACAGTTACACACTGTCAATGATTATAATTTTGAAGTAAATACAATTGTAGTAAATTTTGTTATCAAAATAACTGCCAATTATGTAATAATCATGTAAACGAATATTTATACCATATTTTAGTACAAAATAAATATCAAAACGTTCTCCAGCTTCCGAAGAACTGTTACATGTGTGATAAATATTCAGGACGCAGTTATTATAAAGATTTTATTGGTGCCGACGTTTCAACCCAAACATGTGGGTCATCATCATCAGAGCGTGTTTCGTGCACTGAAGATATTCAAGTACTTTTTTTTAAATTGAAATTTACAACCGGTAAATATAACATGACGGTACTTGTTAAGAAGCTACCCATTGGTAACACTTCAAAGATAAATTAATTTATCTTGAGGTCCCTTGGCCATCTTCTTTTCAGACGCCTAAGAGGTTACGAGCTAGAGGATTGGAATGACCAAAGAGTTTGGAAATAAAAGAGATATAAGTCTAGTTGGGGCTAAGTCTTCCAAAAAAGGAATGTTGAGGTCTTTATGGATAATTTTATTAATTACATTATAACGAGTATTTTGAGGAGGATTTTGGATTGTATGTATTGGATACGGGAAGAATTTGATGTTTTTATAGAACTCCAAAGCTCAATACCATTTGTCCAAATGGGCCTGATGATGATAGTGTAAATGAGTTTTTTGTAGAATATTGCAAGTTTAGAGCGTTTGTCAAGTAAGTGTTGTAGTAGTCGGAATCTGTTGGCAGTTTCTTGTCTTTTAAGTATAGTATGAGGATTCCAGGTAAGGCGTTTGTCAAGAAGGAGTCCTAGTTAACGGATCTGTTCGACAGGGATCAGTGGAATATTTTTAAAGGATACGGTAGGACAGGATGTTGTAGGTTTAAGGCGAAGGGTTGTTGGGATCAATTTTAATTCTCCAATTTGCACACCATTCTTCAATGGCTGAAATGTGTGACTGCAGGGTTTGTGACGCAATAGTTGGTTCATTATTGACAGATAATACACACGTGTCATCACCTTAGGTAGCTTCCCTTGAGGAACCCCAACGGACTGGGAAAATATAGATGAATAAGCAGAGTTACATTTTACTTTTAAGGTTCTATCTGTGAGGTAAGAGAGATTAATAGGAAACATGTAAGGAGCAGGAATTGATTGGAGTTTGTACAGTAAACCTGCATGCACTCGATCAAAAACCATTGAAGTACTAAATGAAGTAATTCAATACCTTCATTGCTCGTAACATGCCCTGATGATGACCCACAGGTTTGGGTTGAAACGTCGGCATCTATAAAAACTTTATAATGACAGTGTCCTGAATATTTACCAAGCATGATATGAAGAACAGTCGACTAACTTCCTTAAATAATTCATCAAATCATTGGAACCATTTATCTACAACAAGAACACAAGTCGTCGCTGAAATCCACCACAACAGAGATATGAACTCTTTGTATCCTAACAACAAACATCAAAACAAAGATGTCATCCTGTTCCATCTCAAGCTCTCTCTCTCCGAATACTTCAAATACCAAAACAGAGGTAAACTGCTTCCCATTTCTCAAAATTATACATTCTTTCCAAAAATCCGTTATAAACAGTTTTTTTCCATTTACACAAACGATTAGCACATAAAGAATCTTTAATTTTTTTTCTTAAAATGCAGATCTCAATCATTATTTCCCAATTTTATTACTAACAACAAAACCGAATTTAAAATTAACAAAAACCTCCTGTCTAAATTTAACATCAAAATCCGTTTCAAAAAATCCATCTTCACGAGTACTTGAATACCTTCAGTTTTGGAAACTAGTGATGGGAAAAACTGTTTAATATCAGTAGCACTTTCAACACTTTCTGCTACTTTCAAAAAACAGTTTAAAAAACATAAATGACTGTTTTGAAATTCGACAAGAAAAAAAAAATGTCGATCATCCAATTATTTCAGTCTAAAGTGTACAGCAAAGATCTCTTGGAGTTCTGCTTTCTCCTATATATTTGGAGGGACAAGACTGGCTTGGGTATCCATGCCTGATTATATATATTGTATATAGGTATAACTGTGTCTTTTATGTATTTAATTTACTTATCTTTAAGTTATTTTATTTTTATTGAATATACGTTTTTATTATTGTTTATTATTATTTTGCTTTTGTTTATTTTATGTTTTATGTACCTAGTTCTGCCACAAATACTGTTACAAAAGTTGAATTTTGGTTACTTCCTTGGATATTATTTAGATAATTCTTACCTCTATCAGATTATTTTCTTTAGGTGTCAGAATAATAATCATAATTAGTTTGTATTTTTCTTTTGGCTCAGTTAATATGGAGTGGGGTGATAAAGAAAACCCAATAGGTGTGAACCTCTTACACAAAGTTGGAAAATGTAGGTCAGAAATTTTCAACACCTTTGGGTGAAACCTTTGGGTATCAGCCATATGTGAGTGACCTCGACCGGGTCGTCCCCGCACTGTGAGAACGGCAAATGCAGTGAGAGTCGTGGCTACTCGAATTACAAGAAATAGCATTCGAAAACAACAAATCTTGTCTCGAGAAATGGGAATCTCTGTCAAATCAATGTCTCGAACACGTAAAAGTGACCTTAGGATGTATGAGTCGAAGAATGACAGGACAAAGGCTAACCACTTCCCTTAAAAAAAAAATTGAGTGGATAGACGCAAAGTGCTTCTTGGACCTTACACCAATGGTATTCATCGAATGATTTTGTTTAGTGACGGAAAAAATTTTATAATTGAAGAAAAATTTAATCGCCAAAATGATCTTGTGTACACGCAGCGCTCTAAAGAAGCCCAGGATGTCATTGGAAGAGTGGAAAGAGATCATCACCCTTTCTCAGTGATGGTTTGATGCGAAGTTTGCTTAGATGGCACAGCAAAGCTCCATTTTTTTAAAAAGGAGTTAAAAGAGCCGTTAAAAACTACCACGACGATATTTTGGAACTTGTTGTCAAGCCTCTAAATGATACTCTGTTTGCTGGAAGTCATTGGGTTTGGGAAGAAGTGAAGACCAGGTCAACTCCTTGGTCTCATTGGTCCTCAGGAAGCCCTGATCTCAACCCACTAGATTATCGGCTTTGGTCCGAACTGGAGAGGATGACATGCCACAGAGCACACCTTAACTTGGAAAGTCTCAAGCAATCTCTGGTCCAAGTAGTTGAGCGCTTTCCTCAAGAAGTGCTGCGTGCTGCTATTGATGAATGGCCACGGAGAATAAATGCCTGTGTCAAGGCAAAGAGGGGCATTTTGCGTAATTTCTTCTTTGTTTTACTCTCTATAAATATAAATTTTATTTTCTGATTAAGTTCTTGAGAAAAAAAAATGTTTCTATTGAAATCTGAATATATTTCCTTGTAGGAATATTTATTATAACACAACTAGGTATATATGTTGTGTTCTTGTCTCACAAACATTATTGTCCGTGTGACAGATTGTTGTATTATTGGATGAATACATTTAAAAATATATAAATAAGATCCAATAAAATTAAATACCCACTCTGCATGAACGAGTTCCGCCTGGCCCAAGCCGTAGACGTTAATATCCTCCATCGTGAGGTTCATCGTGATACTCTTGGACCCACCTTCGAACTGCTCGATCTTATCGATGTGCAATGGGTCGAATGCTGGTATACCATACTTCGGGATACCTGAAATAGATGGATGGATTAAATGATTATTGTTTTATTTATTTATTGTTACATTCCGCATCTACCCGAGCGGGTCATTAGCGGCTTTAGATGTAATCAAATTAGTTGGATCAAATTTAATGTCTTTTATAAATTCAAATACTTTTTTTATCTTTTCTTTGTCATCTGAAAGTGCGTCAGATATGTTGGAAGGTGTATTATGTTTTGTTCTGGTGTCAAAGTCTGCAAGTTGTTACAATGTGTTTCAGTATAAGTGGTGTGTTGCATGATTTACAAAATGGTGGTTCCAGGCATCTCATTACGTAGCCATGGGTAAAGGCTGCATGTCCAATTCTAAGTCGAGTTAAAATTATTTCTTCTTTTCCGTTCTTTCTGAAAGAGGTCGTCCACGGTTTGGCATCTTTTTTAATTTCTTGCAATTTATTTGTAGATTGGTTCCTCTTGAATTGCCATTTTTCATTTAGCATTTTTTTGCATTCCAATCTCCAATCAGCAGTGGTCCTTAAATTGATCATTGTGGTTCCATTAGTTTTTCTTCTTGCCAGGTTCGCAGCGCTGTCTGCAGCTTCGTTCCCAGATATGCCACAATGTGAGGGTGCCCATGCGAGGACGATGTCTCTGTCCGGCGACTCCTTCATTTCCCAGAGGCAGTTTTTGATTTTCCTGGAAATGGTATTGTCGGCTTTCCCTTCGGCAATGGCCATTAATGAGCTTAAACAGTCTGTAATTATAAGGCCATTTTTTATGTTTTTTCCTGTTAGTAATAACAAGGCTTGATATATGGCGAATAGTTCACCTGTGAAGACGCTGTTTATTTGGGGAAAATTGAATTTGAGGCACTGGTCTTTCAGTATTACTGCACATCCTACGTCACTATCTGTTTTTGACGCATCTGTATAAAGGGTTGTGTGTCCGAGGTATTTGTGTTTCATTTCTGTAAATAAGTGTTTTTTGACGAATTGGTCGTCGTCAGTTTGTATTTTCCTGGAAAGAGACGTATCTGTTTTTATGAAAGAGTTATTCCATTGAGAGAATAAAGCGTCGTCTATTGTCATTATATTGTCCAGTCTGAAGTCTACACTTGGTTGGTGTTGATGCTGGTAAACAAACTATGGTTAGGGTGGTCCGGTTTAGAAATTATAGATGAGGCGTAAACTAGTGTAAGATATTCTCTTCTTAATGCTAAGCTCGGTTCTCCACTTTCCACGAATAGGCTTTCAATGGGAGAGTATCTAAACGCCCCGGTGCATAATCTTATTGCAGTATTGTGGACGATGTCGAGTATTTTGAATGCTCTCTCAGAGGCTGAATTATATACAATACTTCCATAGTGTATTTTACTTTTTATTAAAGTTCGACACAGGATAAATAGTGTCTTTCTGTCGGCTCCCCAGTTCATTCCAGAAACAGCTCTGAGTATATTTATTAGTTTTAAGCAATCTGTTTTCAAATTACGTAAATGCACTGTCCATCTCAGCTGCCTGTCTAACCACATCCCAAGAAAACGTACACTTTCTACGAATGGTAAAATTTTTCCTTTCACTGATAGTGATGGATTATCAGAGCAGTATCTTTTCCGGCAGAAATGGACACACTTGGTTTTGGTCGTTGAAAAATTGAAACTTGTAGTTTAAATGATTATTGTTAAACAAAATAAAATAATAAATATCTTACATGTACATTATTTCAGAAATAAATATAATTTTTTTCTTTTATTTTTAACATGTACGATAACGGGTATAACTTATAATAAAGATAAATCTATATAAATAAAATAAAGATTTTGTCTGTACATTTTATAGAATCAACCCATTTTAGGACATATTTCCGTTTAATACATTGCAGACACCAAATCCACTTTAAAAAAAATTTTTGCCTGTCTGTATGTCCGGATTGTAACGAAGTTTTTTCAGAGGTAAGCTCAGCAATGGCTTATTGTAGACTTTTGAAATTTTGACAATATATTAAGGTTTACTTGAATCAAAACGGCTTTAAATTAAAATAAAATATTGAGTATAACCAAAGTTATGAATACTTGAGTAATTTGTCTAGAGATCTCGGTTCATGTTCATAATAAATGTTAATAATAAATATATGTTTATAGGTTATAAAGGTTTGGCTGTACATTGAATAGAATCAACCCGTTTCACAATATGTTTCGGTTTCACACATTACATACACCAAATCCATTTTTTTAAAAATTTTTGTTTGTCTGGATGTCCGCATTGTCATACGAAATTTTGTCAGGGGTAAGCTCGGCAATGGCTAATGGTAGACTTTTGAAATTTTGACATTACCGTTAGGTTTGCTTAACTTAAAATATAGGCTTTAAATGATAAAAACATATTGAGTAAAACCAAAATTATGAATTCTTGAGAAATTATTTTAGAGATCCCGTTTAGGCAGTTACTTCGATTCTAATATCAACCTACTCTACCGCGAGCCACATTTAAAAGCTGTACTACTTAACTGATGGGAAAAAGTATCACAACTCAATGGTAAAAATCCGGAATACCGAACATCTGTAACGCGTTGTCACATAAACCGGGTAAAACAAATTCTTTTTTCAACTTTGCCCGATCTTCCCGTTCAAGGTGTCATTCAATTCAATTTTCCGAGCCTAAGAAATGTTGTCGTATACATTTTTAGGATTAACCAAGCGGATCAGCCAGAAATCAGGATAAAAAAACTCCAACAATTCACCCACAATATTCAGATCAAGTTCTAATCTTACACGGATGTAGGTGACTCATGTCCAATATTATTTTGATTATTTTGCCAGCAGAGTTTAAAGAAGTGGAGAAACTACCCTTTTTGATTAATTAATCGACTCCACAATGTCCTCGCTTCATCATAAATGAAAATTAAACACTTAACAAATTTTAATGGATCGGTGCTGGTCGATTTAGTTGTGTGGCACCTGAACAAATAGGCGAATAACAAAGTTTTTTTCATGAATATTGCAATCCTTGACTTGCTTAAGCACTGCCATAAAAAAATTCAAAACACCTCCCTCTCCTCTCGCGACCCAATTTTATGAAATTGAATTTGGATCCTCTTCTTCCCATAATATAGAAATAACATATTTCTTATTAATGATAATCTACTCAATGCTAAGCAAGAAACTACAAAACCTTTGAATTTATAACAGATATGTTACTTAAAATAACGGTTCTAGAAATAAATAAGTGTGTTCAATATTTATGCATCGAGATTTCAAATTTATTGACAGTATTTCAGTTATTACTGGCCAAGTACTGTAGTCAAATAACCTTGTCATGAAAGGGGGGGGGTCTAATTTGCATCGAATGGGTAGAAGTTTTCATTTTGTTTCTTGTATGGGATGTGACTGAATGTAAAACTTTATTAAGGATTTACTGTATGTATGGATGTTATGGAATCACTATATTTCCGAAAATGGCTTTTCCCGAAGATTTTATTCTCCTAAGAAAAATTATAGAATTTGTAATATAGATATTGTTCCTCATTCTAGACTGAAACGACAAGAAACTGCTCGACATTTCCGATTACTTCAGCACTTACTAGACAAAGGCTCTAAGCTTCCAATTAATTACAAAAGACTCATATACTTGACTATAATAAGGCCTATTTGGACTTACGGAGTTGAGCTATGGGGCTCCACTAAACCATCGAATTCCTTTCGTATCCAATTATTACAATCCAAAATCCTTCGTAAAATCCTCAATGCTCCCTACTTTGTTACAAATAAAACCATCCATAATGAACTTAGTGTTTCTTTTATTTCAGATCTGGCACAATCCAGATACCTATCATTCCATAATAAACTTCAGAAACATCCCAACCCTCTCGTTTCTAAACTTGCTTCCTCTTCAATTCCTGATAATACTCCGAGGCGTCTGAAAAGAAGATGGCCCCGTGATCTCCTAATGTAGACATATGATTAGAGTGCTACCATTGGGTAGTTGCTCTGCAAGTGTTTTCATGTCATTATATCCATTAGGTTCAAATTTACTAGATGTATTTATTCAATAAAGTTGTAAATATCATTAAGAAATAATAATAATAAAAAAAAGATATTGTTCAGCCAATGAAGATGGTGAGAAAGCTATAGGCCTTTCTTAGCAGGCGTTTTTTTTTTTTTTAGTTTTGGTTCTTACAGGTTTTGTAGAGTGCCTGTCAATATGCTTTTTGGAATAAATGGATTTAAAATTTAGAAGTAGTGACAGTTATTTATGTATTCATTTATATTATTTTTCGTTACATAAACATATATTTATTTATAAGTAAATGTAATAATATAATAAGTATATACAGATTAATACCATTGATCGAAGCCTGTATCACATCATGGGATTGCTTGATGACACAATCGTTAAATGAATCATCGTTTTTGCACAGCTTCACTGGTTTGGCTGGAACATACATAACACTTCATTGATATATTATATATTATATGTAACATACATAAAAATTCATTGATATATTATATACTAGCTTGAACCGGACACGCGCTGCTGTGGCTTATCCTGGCAAAATGAAAAAGAAAGAAAATGGAAAGCACATATGAGTAGATTAGTAGAGTAGAACAATTACCATTTTTAAAAAGTTGGGAAGCAAATTTTTCTGTAAAATGGCTTCAATATAAACTAATTCTAAAGATTTTTTTTTCTCATGATTCAAATCGAACATTCATAATGATCTGAGTGAATACGCCGTCATTCATAATCATCCGAAACAGTCTGAGTTGAACTTATAAAACTAAATTTAAAAAAATCTATAATAGTATTGACCTACATAAGGAGAATCATATAACTTCTTCAAATGATAATTTCAATTTCTGTAGCAATTATACAATTTTCGATTAATCAACAAAAAAAATGCTTGCCGCCCTTCGGTAGTGAGGAAGCAAAAGGAAACGGCCTTTTCTGAAGAGAAAGCAGTAAATGTTTAAAACTCTATAACTCTGCAACGAACCGTCCGATTTCGATTACATCTTTTTTATTTTGTCGGCAAATCAGGAATCTTTGAAATAAATACGGGTATTATCAATCAAAAATTGTCAACTTAGCTATCGGCAAATAGATTATTGAATTCATCGTAACATTTTTCAGCTTGTTTTCGGGAAAGTATGTTATACAGATAAATTAAAAGGGTTTCAAGGGGAAGACTTTAGCCAAGTTTCGTTAAAATCAGTAAAGCCGTTTTGGCACTACAGTTTATAGCGACACATTTTTTGCGGCTTTGAACAGAAAAACATTTACATTTTTATTTTTTTTACATATATAAAATTATCGTAAGACAGAAGTGCTATGCCAGAAACCTTTCCAGAAGTGTACGGAACAACTTCCCAAAGTTTCATGGCGATCGGTTGAACGGTTTAGTAATGCACAAAGGACAAACAGACAGACATACATTAATTTTCATATATATAGATTATATGCATGTCTAATTTTATTCTGGAGCTAGAGTAGTCTTAGAATAAAAACAGAGTTCGAAAGTTATGCTTCTTAGTATGGCTTGCAGAGTAGTATAATAAAATTATACGGTTAATTGATTTATATAGTGTTTGTGCCAAAATGGTTTGAATTGCCCGCGTTACGGCGAGTGGTGGGGGCAGATCAGAAGATCTAAAAGATAACGCTTAATTTTCAAGAACTGCTGGTTTCTCGCCCCATTCCTCCACTGGTAGCCATCGAGACAGCACCAACAGTGGAACTTGAGGGCCCTCAAGGTAGACCGGGGCACTCTTGATATAATTTATTTCTGACATAACTCACATGGTTATTCCACGAATGAATTATTTCGTGAATAATGGTTATTTCTGAAATAATATTTCAAACTGTCAATAAAATAATCTCGATGGAATTTACTGCTGAATTTATTTCTGAAATAATTATTTCAATATTTTAACATTCTTTGGAATAAAGTAAATTATTTCATAACTATTATGTCAGAATTATTTATTTCATAAATAATTATTATTTTGGATATTGGATTAATTATTATTTGAATTATTTTAGAAATAATGGTTATTTCAGAAATAATATTTCAAACTGTCAATGAAATAATCTCGATGGAATGTACTGCTGAATTTATTTCTGAAATAATTATTTCAATATTTTAACATTCTTTGGAATAAAGTAAATTATTTCATAACTATTATGTCAGAATTATTTATTTCATAAATAATTATTATTTTGGATATTGGATTAATTATTATTTGAATTATTTTAGAAATAATGGTTATTTCTGAAATAATATTTCAAACTGTCAATGAAATAATCTCGATGGAATTTACTGCTGAATTTATTTCTGAAATAATTATTTCAATATTTTAACATTCTTTGGAATAAAGTAAATTATTTCATAACTATTATGTCAGAATTATTTATTTCATAAATAATTATTATTTTGGATATTGGATTAATTATTATTTGAATTATTTTAGAAATAATGGTTATTTCAGAAATAATATTTCAAACTGTCAATGAAATAATCTCGATGGAATTTACTGCTTAATTTATTTCTGAAATAATTATTTCAATATTTTAACATTCTATGGAACAAAGTAAATTATTTCGAAATGAGTTGTTTCTGAAATAAATTATTTCATAACTATTATGTCAGAATTATTTATTTCATAAATAATTATTATTTTGGATATTGGATTAATTATTATTTGAATTATTTTAGAAATAATGGTTATTTTAGAAATAATATTTCAAACTGTCAATGAAATAATCTCGATGGAATGTACTGCTGAATTTATTTCTGAAATAATTATTTCAATATTTTAACATTCTTTGAAATAAAGTAAATAATTTTGAAATGGGTTATTTCTGAAATAAATTATTTCATAACTATTATATCAGAATTATTTCATAAATAAATTATTGCTAAAAATCAAGAAATAAATATTTCAGAAATAACATTATTCTGAAATAACGTAAAAAATTTACCAATATCCACCATTTTTTCGAGGTATCTTTTTATGAATATACTGTCGAATTTACGATTGCGCCCCCCCTCCCACCCTCTAGCATCGACTTTTTGTAACTTTTCGGTTTAATCGATATCATGGTCGACTATTATGTTTCCGGGGTAGCTAAATATACAAATACTGTCGATTTTGGGATTGCGCCCCAACATCGACTTTTTGCAACTTTTCAGATATAACCAATGTCAGGATTGACTATTTTGTTTTCGGGGGCTTTTATTATATAAATAATGTCAAATTTCAGATCACATTTTTTGCACAATCAGTATAATCTACCAATCCATTAAAGTACAGTTCACAGCATGAAAGTAGAATGTTCCTCGTAATTTTGAATGTTGCCTATTAAAATCTCATGCGAGTTATTTGAATTAATTTGAAAAGTTACCTGAACATATACATATACGTATACATAAAAAAGTAAATTCTACATGGATTACATTTATAAAAAATACACAAAATCAAATCAAATGGCATTTGTCAATTAATTGTAAACGAGCAATTGTAATTACAGAATTTAATAAATCTTAGATAGATGAGGATGTTTAAATATGAAATAGATGGTAGAACGAGCGGATCCAGGATTTAATATTTTTTTGGAGGGTGGCTTCAGCCCGAAAGATTTTTTTTTTTTGTATACATATAACGATAATTAATTTGAAAAAAAGAAACTAACTAATATATGAAATGTTGTTTAAGTGGTTCTTGAAGCCCTGTTAAATGTAATTAAACGAACAAGAATACTTTAATAGATAGTTTTTAATATTTTTTTTGTAAAACATGATTATATTTTACCATTTTGGGGGGAGGCTGCAGCCCGAATGCCCTCGCTCCCCCGTAAATCCGCCTGTGGATGGTGGAATAGGAAAAGCTAAAAATTCCAGAAGGATGAAGTATGAATGACGAAGGATTTGCTGAAGAAAATGATTTTATTTGGGGATATAAATCAGTAGGTTGAGATCTGGTGAAGAGAGTGAAATAAAGCGAAACATAGGACAAGGATTTCTAGGATGTATGGAGGATTTTTGGTTCTGAGGACTTAGACTAGGAATTATCGACGGGAATTAATATATAAGATATAATATGCATAATATATAACATAAGATATAGCCACTTCAACGAGGTATAACAGCAGAAAACATGACAATATATCTATATCTTGAATAAAAAGGGCCCAAGTATTTTACATTTAACTAAACTGAATAAAATAAATGGACAGTCGATGGACACCTAAACTCAGCAATTCATTTTAAATAACCCGGAGGTAAAAAATCGCATGCGCGCGACACACAACTTTCACTTACCGCTCTACATTGAATAGAAATTATTTTCTGGCAATGTTGGACTGTTATAAAAATTTTGAAGTGCATTTTAAACGGAACTAAAGCTTAAAGTTTACAGATAACAAGTCATTAAGACCATTAAAATTACAAAAAAATCTATTCATTACATCGTGGATAGTCAATAATAATCTAGTTATAAGTTTTATTTGTCAAAATTACAAAATAAAAATTACAAAACAACACAACATAATATTTTTGGATTTAAAACCGAAAATCAGACGTGCTACATGGTCTGTTGACCGTCAGAGGAGTCTGTGTTTCATGACAAAATTATATTTCAGTCTATTTATATACAAATAATTAATAGGAAAATAAGAAAAATTATCTTTACAGTGTAAAAGTTATACAAATATTCTAATTACAAAAACAGTGGTACCAAAATTCTCCAATTTATTAATTATTAAATTCTCTTGTGATCATTATTCTAAAGGAGAAAGCAGACTTGCAATAATTTACCAATGCTATCCAATTGTTTCCATTTAATAAATCAATTACTTGATCCCGAGATAAATTTCTAGACTTTAACCATTTAATTCTAAATTCAGAGAGTATCGCACAAGCATCCAGGAAGTGATAGAGATCTTCTGTTTCGTTTGTATCACACATGCTACAATTATTATTCGTTTGCTGGAAATGTTTATAATTTAAGTTCGAAACATCAGCTCTAATTTGAATTACCCATCTGATCACCTTCAATGAGCTTTTGTCATCAATATAATTTACTGAAGTTAAATGAGGATAAAAAGTGAAAGTTTGTTTGATTACATATATAGTAAATGGAAGTAATAAGAATAGAAAATCATTTCCTTACATATCTTGATCCTTACATATCCAGGTGAATTTCATGTTTTTAACTTATAAATCTCGATTTAATTAATTTAAACTCAAAACTTATTAAACGAGGCAGTTTTTCTAAAAGTGGGATAACTGTAGTATAGTTGGATGATGAAAAACAAAAAAATCGCAAATAATTTTTGATTTTTTTGTTTTAAACAGAACTTAGTTTAGTAGCTCAAATGTCCTCTTGAAATGGTTTTTATAATGGCAAACTCTCTTTTCAATTTATGTGAATTTTACAATGAAGTATATCTTAAGTACTCAAATTAAATATTTATTAAGTTAACTTTTTAACAAAAATTTTTCTCGATTGCAATACTCACCTTTACCATATATTACATATATACGTAAGTGAAAGTAATAATAAACCAAAAATATTTTTAAATCGCGATATCTCTACTAATAGTGCTTTGATTTCGATGAAATTTCATTTATTTTATAGGAAATTTAAATAACTTTGAAACATCTTATCACAATATCCATAAAAAAAGTATATACTTTTTGGATTATTCGGAATTTAATTTTACCATCCCTCGTAACTCTTTTTCCGGTTTCTTTTCGTTGAAGTATATTATATAGATAATTTTTAAGGGCGTCGAGAAAATGACTTTAGTGAAGTTTCGTTAAAAATTGGTACATTCGTTTTGGCACAGACTCATTGATTAACTTATCAAATTCTTTCAAAAGTTATATTTAGTATTTTTTTTGTAACTCTGAATAATATGAAATGATTAACTTTTTAAAATATTAAAGATACTTTAGAGGAAGACGTATATGAACATTGGGCATTTAAGCCCTGTAAAGTGACATCAATGGGGACAACACCTGATAAATATTAAAGACTACTTAATCATACAGTAATATACCGCGTTTAATCAAAATCGTTAGAGCCGTTTTTGAGAAAATATTAAAAATGTGTTTCAGCGTTGATATAAAGTGGCACTTCCGGATTTTAAGGGAAAGGATGCTGTCACATCTAAGCCATATACTTACTTTAAATACTTAATATCAGTTTCGTAAAACACTTCGTTTTTGAGGTAGACTGCTAACATAAACACAGACCAATTTTCGGGACTTGGTCATTTTGACTCAGGGTACCTCAAAACGTGTATTTCCGTTGAAAACTCAGATTCAAAAAATTTCTCGATCGCAATACTTACCCTTACATCTAAAGTAACATTACATTCCTAGTTACAAAGAAAAATAAACAAAAGGTGATTCCAATTATTGGACTAAACTTTTTTTTTAATCATTAGTAGTTTACTAAAAAAAAAATTGCATTACTTCAGTAACACATTCAAAATTTAAAAACCAAACCAAGGATATAACATTTGGACTAGAACATATAAAAAAACCGGAGACCATATCTTTGCTCCTAACTGTCCGATTTTAACGATTTTTTTTTTCAGGAAATTTCGTAAACCTTTAAAAAAACATGTAAAATGTCGACAAAAAGTGTAAATTTTTTGAGTTATTCGGAATTAATTTTACCATCCATCGTAACTTTTTTTCCAGCTTCTTTTCGTTGGAGTATGTTATATAGATAAATTTAAAGGGCGTAGAGAAAATGACTTTGGTGAAGTTTCATTGAAATCGGTACATTCGTTTAGCAGCTACATTCTATAGGAACGCACGTTTTTCGGCCACCATTTTGAAAGTAAACGGCGGATAGTAATGCCGATGATATCAAAATTTGAAAAAAAAAATCGGTCAAGTAGTTTCGGAGAAAATGCTCGGACGGCGGACGGACAAAAAAAATTTTATTCGTTTTTCGAATTCTACGTATCATGAAAAGTGAAACCTCAAATTTTGAGAGGGGGTTAAGTTTTTGAATTTTTTTGTCGATCACAATGGTTGATTATTGAAAATAATAAACCAATATGACACTCTTAAAAAAACACAAAACTTGGATTTCTTACTTTTCTGCTAAAAATTGGCGCATTGTTTAAATAAACTTTTTTGTAGGTTTTGAAGTCTCCTATCAATTCAATCAAAATTTTTCTCTACTTACAGGACAACATGCAGAGTATCAAAGATGTTTACATTATGCCTTAATGTACTGCGGAGATGAAAGCTATCTAATTTCGAAGATGAATGTATATTATATATAATATACGAAAATAGATGGTAGTAATTATATTTTGCACTCGATACTCACGTAATTTGGCTGAACTGAGGAGGACCTGAGAAAGAAATACGAAGAGCAACGGCGCTAACATGATGCAGCTCTGACGAACCGATCTCGCCAACCCTCATATATGCTTCTTTCCCCACTCCTCGAAACTCAGGATGCAAATCTCTTCTAGATATTTCTAGTTTTCGAACTATCATTAATGATTAGTTCAAAATATAATAATACTCTAATTTCAATATCACCTTCAAAATCGATTAATCGTTCTCACGTTGTTTTCATGTGCTCCCCCACCTATTTATATATCATTTATATATCACCATTGCACAGTGTGGTCGATCGCGAATATAGTCTTGCAAGATCAAGACCACCTAATTGTTTTAAGACCAAGATCGATAGTCCGGTTTATCAACTTGTTAACATCCGGCTGAAACTTCATAAATAGCTTCATCTCATCGTAACCTAGAAATATATTATTTATGAAAATTCTCGGAATTGGAGCGTTTTTAATTTGGAGGTCTGCAAACTTTGTCTATTTAATAGGGACTAAAAAATCTGGTGCACGCAACACACAACTTTCACTTACCGCTCTACTTTGAATAAAAACTATTTTCTGGCAATGCTGGGCTATTATAAAATCTTTTGAAGTGCATTTTAAACAGAGCTAAAGCTTAAAGCTTACAGATAATAAGCCATTAAGCACATTATAATTACGAAATGTCTATTTAATATATTGATGGTAGACAATAAAAATTTAGTCACTCCATCTGTTTTTATAAACCACAAAAGCACAAACTCCAATATCAACATTTTTGAGTAATGTCATTTAGTGATATTTTTAGTTGAAAAAGTTATCTATGCAGACAGTGAGTAAGTTGATTCCGGAGGTGGTGATTGCAGTGTTGAAATGTAGAACTGAGAATAAAGGTATAAATTTAGGAACTTATTTCTTATAAAAGATGTTCTTAGGAAAGACACCATATTAAATACCTGTAGAAAAAAGATTTTGTTAGGCTCAACAATTAAAATAATATATTTTAAATTTATCCAAATTTTCGCCTCTTCAGAGAAAAAACTAGAGATCATATCTTTCCTCCTAAATGTCCGATTTTAACGATTTTTTTAGGAAATTCCATAAACTTCTAAAAAACCATCCCCAAAAAGAGTATATTTTTTGAGTTATTCGAAATTTAATTTTAACATCCCTCGTAACCTTTTTCCCAGCTTCTTTTCGTTGAAGTATGTTATATAGATAAATTTAAAGGGTGTCGAGAAAATGACTTTAGCGAAGTTTCGTTGAAATTGGTACATTCGTTTAGGCACAGACTCCTTGATTAACTTATCAAATTCTTTCAAAAGTTATATTTAGTATTTTTTTCGTAACTCCGAATAATATGAAATGATTAACTTTTTAAAATATTAACGGTACTTTAGAGGAAGACGTATATGAACATTGTGCATTTAAGCCCTGTAAAGTGACAATCAATGAGGATAAGACCTAATTGATATTAAAGACCACTTAATTATACAATGATGCACCGAGTTTAATCAAAATCGTTAGAGCCGTTTTTGAGAAAATTATAAAAATGTGTGTCAGCGTTGATATTAAGTGGCACTTCCGGTAAGCCGATTTTGAGGAAAAAGTTGCTGTCACATCTAAGCCATATATACCTATCTTAAATACATGATATCAGTTTCGTACGACTTTTCGTTTTTGAGCTAGGCTGTTCACATACACTCAGACTATTTTTCGGGACTTGGTTGTTCGAACTCAAGAGACCTCAAAACGTGTATTTCCGTTGAAAACTCAGATTATAAATCTTCTCGATTGCAATACTTACTCTTACTATATAATACATATATACCTAAGTGAAAGTAAAAACTAGTATATACCCCTTTACTTTCTACTTTAATGTTAAGGTAACTTGAGCAGAAAGTCGAGAAAAAATGAGGCTTTAAAAAAAAAATTGAGCCGTTTAGTGTGACCTACACCTCCAAATTGTCAAAATAACGAGGTTATATAGGCCAAACGGCTCAATATTTTTGAAGGCCACCTTTTTTCTCGACTTTGTGCTCAAGTTATCTCACGATTGAAGTGGAAATAAAATAGGTATTTACGAGTTTTTAGTATCAAATTAAATAGACAAAGTTTGCCGACATCCAGATTGAAACCGCCCCAACTACAAGAATTTTCGTAAATAAAATGTTTGTAGATTACGATGAGATGAAACTATTAACAATGTTCTAGCAGGATATTAATAATTTGATAAAAAGGGACCTGTACGAAGGACTACAAGACTGGACATTAAAAAAAATAAATAAAAAACCCGCAAAGAAATGGTAGAATCAATATACTTTTATACCAATATAAAAACGGTAAAGCCGTGGTCAACATAAAATCGTCCTTTCCGCAGAAAAGAGGTTTTCTTGACCAGACTGAGAATAGGCCATACCAGTCTTACACACTCACATCTCATTAGTAAACAGCCACCGCCAAAATCTCAATACTGTAATAGTACACTTACAGTTAGCCACATTTTTCACGAACCTTTTTTCTCGAATATGACGTATTTCAGACTCACACTCCCAATATCATACATCTATGAAAATGACGAAGGCACTACAGCTAGTATTAAATTTTCTAAAATTAAACAATTCGTTAAACAAAATTTAAAAGTTGAAATTTAAATCTACTTCAGATAAACAAAATTAAACACAGTCGTTAATGAATTCGAGGTTTTGCTACTTAAAACTCCAACAACAACTTTTGCAAATACTTTCAATTTTTCATTTGGGGTTTAGTTAGGTTTTCCCATTTTGAAAAATGTCAGTAATATCTCTATAATATATAGTGGTAATATTGTTTAAAAATTTGTTAAATTTCGGGAAAAAAAAAGACTAATAAAAAGATCGTCTAAATCGAACAAATTTTAGCAACTTTACAATGTATCGAATTTTATACACAGATATAATAATTGTTCACTTTCTCGTTTACGTTGCTTTATTTCATCAAGGAAATCGTACTATAAAATAATTCCTCTGATGGGTTTTCAGGAAAATTAGTCTAATTCAATTATGTTATTTTTAATGGACATTTTTAAAATTGGAAAACAAAATTAAAATCTTTAAGAATGTCATGTGATTGGACACATCAGATTTTTTAATTTAAATAATTGTTGGCATTGTATAGATTATCTTTACTCCACAACTCATCGATTCTATGAATGGTGACTATCGCTTTCTTTATTGACAATGCCTTTAATGAATTTTAAAGTTAATTTGGTTGGACATTACTATGTTTATGTCAGTAAAACATATAAATATACATATTCTGTAGCTGTTTTCTAAGATGTAAAGTAACATGTTTAATAAAATGCAATCTTACATATAGGTATGACTGAATTTTTATGTCTTTATTTTTTATTGTACATAGATGATTATTATTTAGTTATTATGTTAAGTTTGTTAATTTTATGTTTTTTGTATATATGGCGTGAATGTGTTCATATCTCCACTATAATTATTGTCCACGTGACAGATTATTATATTTCTAAATAAAAAATAAATATGAGAAGGAATTGGTCGAGGAAGGAGGGTGCGGTCAAATAAATATTAGATTATTTAAAAATAATATTTTTAACTACGCTGACGTTTCGACCCACCTTGCATGTCTTCATCAGAGATACAAAGATACATAATGTAAAAGGTACAAGGTGAAAATAAAATAAATGAATTATAAGTAGATATTAAATAAGAAACAGTTACCTGATAAAGAAATAATAAGATGACATGAGAGATATTGTGGGGAACAGTGTAATAACAATATCAAGTATTATATCTCTCTCTCTCTCTCTCTCTCTCTAGATATATATATATATATATATATATATATATATATATATATTATATATATATATATATATATATATATATATATGTATATATATATATATATATATGTATCTTCTCTCTCTCTCTCTCTATATATATATATATATATATATATATAGAAGATACAAACAAAAATAGAAAATAAGTATGGATAATTATTCACACTTATTTATTTTTTTTATTTGTATCTTCTCTCTCCCTCACTCTATCTTTCTCTCTCTATATATATATAAACTTGATATTGTAACTACACTATATCTCTGATGTCATCTTAATATTTCTTTATCAGAAAACTGTTTCTTATTTAATATGTATATATAATTAAATTATTTTATTTTCACCTTGTACTTTTTATATTATGTGAGCCTTGATGAAGACCTGCAAGGTGGGTTGAAACGTCGGCGTAATTAATAATACTATTTTTAAATAATCTAGTATTCTCATATTATATCACGGTCAACCATTTCTACATCAGTAAAAAATAAATAAATACACAGAAATAAGCTAATCGGTAACTCGAAAACTCTTGCATCAAGGAAACATTAATCCAGACTAATCTGTTATTGTTTAAGAGATTCATTGAATTATTTTTAAACTATTTTTGATATAAAATCAGTACGTTTTTTTATATTTCTTGAAAACAATAATTTTCCTCATATGACATAATTATTATCGCTGCTTTTAAAAGGATGAGAACGGGCGATTAAGTTTAACATATTTGTTGATGTAACATGTTGTTAGACACAAAGAATAAAAAATTAGGTCACACACCGGTGTATGTAAAAAACTTGAAATAGTTTTCTGTTTAAGTGACGTTGCTAATTGAAGTAGATTATGAAATTCTAAAATAGGAGAGGGAAATAATTCGTCATTAAATACTTTATTTATTGCACTACATAGTTAAATAGTAAAAAATAACAACTATGGTATGTGCTCTAGACCTGACGATAGAAGTCAAGACATCAACAAGCTGAGATTAATAATATGAAATATTAATTTGTTTTTGTATTATATTCACTATTTAATAACATTTTAGTCTGTGGTATAGACCACTTTTTATCAAATTATTAACATCCGGCTGAAAATTCGTAAATAGTTTCATTTCATCGTAACCAACAATTATTTTATTTACGAAAATTCTCGTGATTGGAGGGTTTTCAATCTGGAGATGGCAAATTTTTTCTATTTAATAGCTAAAAACTCA